GGGATGCATAAATAAAGTCTGCCTTAGGGGCAGCTCAAAGCTATATTCCAGCAAGTTACTGTGCTACAGTATTATGAGAATTTTTATCCATCATCAATAAAAAATGAGAATAGCAGTTACTATGGCAGTTGCCACAGTCAAGACTGTTTCTGCTATTACATCTTTTAGTAAAAGGGTGATACACTCTCCATTATATGATGTCAACTCATCCACCTTTCCGACATTAAAGTATAATGTACAATCTTTATATGGATTCTTCCCTCATGAAGTCACATTTCCATGAACTTGGGGGCAAGGACACAAAGGGGCTAAATTAACTGTGGGCAGAAAGAAAAGTAAATTACATTTCTTTACAAATGAATAGCACAGAGATACTGCCATTTTTTGGAAAGAAACGGAGTTATAATAAAATTGATAAAATAAATATTTTACAGTGCAGGCCTATGCCTACCAGTGGTGGAATTATGCCAGACCAATGCCCTTGATGCTCCACTGGGCACACTGGAACCACAAAAGGAGCACGAACATCGCCATGCCTCAGGCTTTCCAGCACCAGGCCCAAGAACATGCAGTCTGAGCTGACTGGACACTGCAGTCATCTTTCTGGCAGCATGGTGGTTGGGGTTGGATTCTCAGAATATGGATGTCCTCATTCTCATAATCTTCTTTTTTCTGCTTTTTGTTTTTCTTCCCCTAAAGTCTTTCTATTTCATTTTGTCTTTTTTTTTTTTTTTTTTTTTTTTTCAGAAACGGTCTTACTCTGTCACTCATGCTGGACTGCAGTGACAGGATCATAGCTAACTGCAACCTTGAATTCCTGGATTCAAGCGATACTCCCTCCTCAGACTTCCAAGCAGCTAAGACTATAAGTGTGCACCACCATGCCTGGTTGCTTAAAAAAAAAATTAATAGGGCATCTTGCTATGTTGCCCAGGGTGGTCTTGAATTCTTGGTCTCAAGCGATCAGCTCCCTGAGTGGCTGGGATTGCAGGCATGAGACACTGTGCCTAGTTCCTGTCCTATTTTATATATATTTTTTACCTAACCACTCTTGCTTGTGGTGATGAAAGTCACAGAAAAAACTCATGTGTAACTCACTAAAGAATATGTGTGGCGAAGTTCAAAGTGCCCAAGATTTAGGACAGAAGACCCCAGTTCAAATACTGCTTCTTCAACATCTTAGGGCAAATTTATTCTCTTTTTTCTTTTAGAGAGTTTGTAGGAATGATTTTCACCTCTGTGGGAAGCTAGCTGTCTTCTTTGCTACTTACCTATGACAAACTGGACTGTACCAATCAGAATTTCTCCTTCCAGCAAGGTTAATAAAAGGTAAGCTGTGGGCCAGTGGCTCATGCCTGTAATCCTAGTACTTTGGGAGGCTGAGGTGGGCAGATCACCTGAGGTCAGGAATTCGAGACCAGCCTGCCCACCATGGTGAAACCCCGTCTCTACTAAAAATACAAAAAAATTGGCTGGGCGTGGTGACAGGTGCCTGTAATCCTAGCTACTTGGGAGGCTACGGCAGGAAAATCTCTTGTACCTGGGAGGCAGAAGTTGCAGAGAGCAGAGATCACGCCATTGCACTCCAGCCTGGGCAAGAACAGTGAAACTCTGTCTCAAAAAAAAAAAAAAAAGGTAAACTGTGAAAAGCTGTATTCTTCCACATGCATAAAGGAACAGAAAAAGCTAATCTGCAGGGAGAAAACAATGTGGTAGAAAGGAAGAGAAGAGCAAATATGAGAAAGAGAAACAGAGGCAATGCATTGCCAAGCTATCTTGAGGATGGTGAGTCAACTTGGCAGCTTTCTTACCTCACAACCCCATTTAAATCCTATCTGTGACTTGGCTATCAACCTGCTCTCTGATTTGTGAGATAGCCAATTTTGTATTGCTGGAGTTCTTTCTATTGCTTTTTTCTAGATTTTGTGAGCTTTATCACCTGCAATCACAAGTTCTAAGACACTTTTTGAAGTCTTGGTTTTCAACAGACTAACAATTTCTTAGCCACTCTTTGGTCACGGCATCTAGTGAGGGGAAAGTGAGTTGATGGACAATGATGTGCTATTGTTAATCACTTACAAGCTCATTCACAAGTGTGGTCAACAAATGTTTACTGGGCATCAACTATCTGTCTGACACTGCCTTAGATGTGGGACCTGTGCACTGAAAAAAACAAAGTCATTGCCAAATGGAATTCATATTCTGAGGAAGGGGAATAGAAAGTAAAAATTTTAAAAACAGATAAATATGTCATATGACAGATAAATAAAGGAAAGAAAAAAATAGCATAAAGCTGACATAGAGTGGTGGAGGAGAGGGGTTGTTATTTTAGGTAGATTGGGTAGAGAAAGTATCAATAATGCAATGACATGTGAGACCTGAAGGCAATTAGGGAGCGAGATGGGACCATTTGGAGAACAATGAACAGGGAAGGGAAGTACAAAAGTCTTGAGGAAGGAGTGGACATGGCATATTTGAGGAACAGAAGACCAGAGTGACATACTAGAAGATGAGTTATAGAAGGCCTAGCATAGAGACTTTTACTCTGGATGAGATGGGAAGCTATTGGTGGTTTTTGAGCAGAGATGTGACATAATTTGACTTTCATTTTAGAAATATTATTGGAGTGCTGTAAAGAATATAGTAGAGGAGAATGGGCACAGCAGCTCATGCCTATAATTCTAGCACTTTGGGAGCCCGAGGTGGAAAGGTTGTTTGAGTCCAGGAGTTTGAGACCAACATGGGCAACACAGCAAGACCACGTCTCTACAAAAATTTTTTAAAATTAGCCAGGTGTACACGCTTGTAGTCCCAGTTACTTGGGAGGCTGAAGTAGGAGGATCATTTGAACCCAGAAGGCTGAGGTTACAGTGAACCATGATGGTGCCACTGCACTCCAGCTTGGGCAACAAAGTGACAACTTGTCTGAAAAAAGAAACAGAAAACAATACAGTAGAGGGGAAAGGTGAGGCAAGGAAGGCAGTTAGGAAGCTCTCGTGATGGTTTAGGTGAGAGATGGTCATGACTTGGGCAAGGATCATGGCTAAAGAAAGATACAGAAATGCCAGATTCTCTTATAATGTTGAGGCAGAAGCTGTAAAGTTTACTGATGGTTTAGAGATGAGTTTGAGAGAAGACAGGGGTCAACAAAGAGTAAAAATCTGGGCCAAATCGCAAGATGGAGCTGTCATTGATGAGATTAGCAAGATGATAGAAGCGGCAGTTATTTAAGTGGAGAAATTTAAGAGTTTTGTATTGGATATGGTAAATTTCAAACAACTACTGGCATGTTAAGTAGCGAAGTCCCTTAAGAATTTGGATATATCAATATGGAGGCTTGCAGAGAGCTCTAGATTGAAGATCTAGTTTATATTCCTGTCTTTCAGAGAAGCATCCCATTTGAGGCTGCTAGAGGATTGATTTTTTTTCAGTCAAGGAGATTAAGAATTAAGGGGATTACAGATGATGTAATACTTCAAAATCAAAATATTTGAAAAGGAAGTGAGAACTTTTTTGAAGACTGATTGACTTTCACGGCTTTCTGCAATTAGTTTGGGTCAACATATCTTTTATCTTTGAACAAAATACTATTGGCAACAAAACATCTCATATCTACAAATTTATTGGAAACATTTGGAATTTCTGAGTCAGAAAATATATAGACTACTGTGCTAATAATTAACAAGTTATTCTTTCATACATGAATTGTTGGATGAGCCTATCAGTGGTTGAATATTTATTTAGCACTGATGGTGTGCTGTTGAGCATAACATAATAAAGGCTACGGCTAATAAAAATCAATCTTTCATAAATAAAATAAAATTAATTCACTGATTAATTAAATTAGATTAAAAAAATTAAGTTCTGCCTTCAATGAGTTTACAAGAAAGAGCTTAAAATCTGGCATATTTCCAAGGTCATCTCACAGCAAACTTGCAAAATCTGTCTTTGGTTCTTTTCTACTACCATACTGAAAATTTAACTTATCCCATAGCCCATCCACTTTCCCAAACAACCTGTAAATCAGAAAGATTGTGTAGAAGGGCAGATCTCGAAAATTCTAGTACATCTCAAATATTGGAAGACAGCTGAGAACCATTAGGGCAATGCAGTTTGCTATAAAGAACATCAAAATAGAACTGACTTATTAATCTTACTCAGCATGTTACTTACCAACTGTGACTTCTATGATATGCTCATATTTACAATAAGCTTATATGGAATACTTCAATGCCTCATGGATGCAAGACAGACAGCAATCAACTTACAGCAAAGTCTCAGACACTTCTATCTTCAGTCCTTCAAACCTTCTTCAGTACTTCACATAGCTTTATTTTCCAATCCTTACTTTCATGGAGCTTTATATACCAAACCCCCAAATATGTTAATGTATAATTTTTACATGTAGCACTTGTGAACCAAGTAAACATTAATTGGACACCTACTGTGTGCCAGGTACACACTCGTGACACAAAGAACAAAATGGAGACGTTCTCTTCAAGCAGAGAGGAGAAACCACATAAATCTAATGTGTAATGAAAATTTCAAAGGTGTATCTTTGTATGCCATATTATGAGAACCCAGAGAAGGGCAATTATCAACCAAGGGAGGTCAGCAAAGTCTTCCTTGGAAAGTATTAGAGGACAAGTAGGAGTTCATCAGGCCAAGAGAAAAGAAGGTAAGTTACAGGAAGGAAGAAAGCTCATTTCACTTATATAGAGCAATAACAGAGAACAACGAGTCAGTTGCCTAAGATTATGTGCTGTTGGAATAGAAATTTAAAGGTGGGAAGTCATGAAAGTTGCACCTGGGGATAAATTAGAGTCAAGTCATGGGGGATTCTGATAAGTTAATTCTGCTCTTGCTATGAAGCCATTCTTCCCTAAGCCGACTCAAATCCTTTTGTGGGAGGAGGGGAATAGGGCAGGGTAAATAACTAAGTAGATGACTTTACACAACTACAGAATTTTCTTCTTTTATGTTTTCCAGATGCCTGGGGAGAAATGATGCAAAAGGCAAGAAAATAAATATTATGGAAATTTATTAATTAGGATATTGCTTGTTGTATGTAAGTGTTCAAAAATAATAATACTTGCTACAAACATCTTTTAAGTGATTATTGGAGATTACAACCAAAAGGCATAAATATTATGTCAATAAGCTTTGGGGTCCCTTATAACAGTTTTAAAATTCTGTAATTATGGCAGTGCTTTGAATTTTGTTTCTAAGGAATTGCTAGAGGGGAAATAACTCTAAAAAAGGAATTAAGAACTCAGTCTCGGCTTGTGTTGCAATATCTTTCTGTTCTTAGGACTCACTTTGTAGTAAACAATGAGGCTATTTACCAAGGGTTTCTTAGAAATCATTTCAAATTTCAAGAAAGTACATTATAGGAATTCAGGAGATTAGTCTGATAAAAAGCTTCTAAGAAAGATACAAAATGTGAAATTATTGATTTAAGTAAACTAAACTTACTATAGGTAAACGAAGATAGATATACGTGTAATACATAAACTACGCCTCATTAGCAGTTTTATTATTTGTTTCTGATTCTGTTACTAAAAATGGATCCATTAACACACATATTTTTGGTCCTGGTACATTTTCATTTTAAAAATTATTTCTCACATCTTCCAATTATTGACATTGCTGACTAGTGCTATTTGAAAACTCTTTGTAGTCCAGGCTACTTACCATCATGTTGGATAAAAATAGGCAAATGACATATGCTCCCTTCTAAGAAATAGAATTCTTGGCTTCATCTAACCTAATTAACTGGCTAGAGTAGTCATCCATAAAAGCAGAAGCTAACACTTCAGAGCCCATTAGCATTGCCCATGAAGCTGATCTCCTTAGCTGGTTGATTTCTCTCTTTACAAGCCTAAGAATCCTAACCTAAACTATGTGGTAAGTCACATTCAAATTTCCTCATATCATTGATCCTGTAAGTGGTTAGACGAGGTTGCTAATAGGTTAAATGATGGTCTGAAATCTTAGGCAGTTTTTGTGATATTGTTCTTTGGGTTCAGACCTTGCCCCAGTTAGTTCCATCAAAATTAAGAAGGCAGACAACCAGTAGTAGGTATAGCTATATATTCTCTTACAGAAAGTACACTGTAACTTAAAAAAATATCTAACACTAAATTTTAAATGTTTGTTTTACGGAACACTAATTCCCAAAAAACGTCATTTCAAAAGTAAAGGAGGAAAGGCTCCAAGGTCAACCTTTGCATGTTGTATGTTTGAAATGTTGCATGGATGGCTCAATCAATAAGACTCCCTAACATTAGCATATTAAAGGTTCTGAAACTTGCAGCTATAAATAAACCTGTTTCCTTTCATTTAACCAGAATTATGAAGCTTTTCTGATCAAGAAAGTTTTTTTTCTTGGGAAATATGTCAATTATTCTGTGGAATTTCACAATTTTGGAAAATTTTATTGAAAGATATTTAATAAGAATTTTGGAATTCACAATGTTCAAAAAATTTATTTATTTTGTATATCCACAGTAAATCTCATTTGACAGACAATTTGGGGGTCATGAATATTATTCCAAAATTGCCTTGTTCCAGTTGTAGAAGTGATACTAAGGTTTCTTTATTTCCATTACAAATCATCTCATTGTTACCAAAGAATTCTTACTCGGTTGCCCAAAGATATTCACTAATATTTATCTGGAAGTATAATATACTTTCCATCAGTTTTGAGATAGGAGCACATTTACAATTTTTAATTTAATAATAAACTAAGTGCCAAACATAAGCCAAGTAGAGTATAGTTTTCACTTTTCCCGTATGCACAGTTCCAAAATCACAGCAATAACCAATAAAATATATTAGGCATTTGAAATGTCATCATGAAGCTCACCAAGATAAACTCTTGTATAAAAAAGACAGAATAGGAAAGCAAAGCAGTGAGCAAGACTGACTCCACAGGTTCAGATCCAGGTTGTACCAGCCACTGTTAGGGTGGCTTTAAAAAGTTCCCCATGAAATTAAGACCCAAACAAAAATCATTATTTGAAAACATGGGCTGGGGTGTGTGGATGGTTCCTGCTCATTAAAAAGCAAAAACAAAACCTGGAAAAACAAACCCAAAAACACTACTGCTGACTTACTTCCGGAAACTATGCTGTTATAGGGTTATGGGAAGACGATGACATAACCTCAAATGAAAGAATAATTTCTGCATAACAAGTGCAAGAATCTATAAAACGTAAACATTTGTAAATAGGCCCCAAAGTTGATAAGGCAGACTAAACCACCATCTGGAAATGAAAAAAATATAGTCACTGAAATCAAAACTCACACACACACACACACCCGCGTGCATACACACACACTCTCTCTCTTTCTTTCTCTGTGAAACTACTCTGCAGAAAAAGAATTCATGAATTGGAAAAGTATGCTGGGGAATTCACATAGAATGGATCACAAAGAGTAAAATAAATTTCTAAAAGGCAAAGAGAAGCAACTAAGAAATATGGACGATTGGTTTCAGAGGCTCCAGGGTGAAAGGATAGAATAAATAAAATCTGAACAGATATAACTGAATTTTCCCTAAGTGAGGAAAAACAAAAATGCTCTAACAAATTTTGAATTTTGAGTTGTGTGCAAGATACACATAAATACAATCAGAACTAGAAGGCTAAAGATATTAAAAATAATAGCAAAATGTAGAGGAAAACCATTACAGAAAAATGACAAAATCTTTTAGGAAATTTCTCTTCAGTAATAGAAAACCCAGAAGACAATAGAGTTCTATATTTAAGGTGTTAAAGCAATATCTGCGACTTAGGATTTTATTCACAGGAAAATCATAAAGACGAAAAAGAATGAAGACAGTTCCAAACACACAAAACACTAAGAGTATTTACCAAAGATACTCAGCTTAAAAAATAAAGATTGTCATCAAGTAGAGAGGAGAACACAGAAATGGATAAAAATGTCACTAAATATAATTATTTATTGACCATAACAACAATTTAGTATTTTATGTAGTTTTTAAAATCTCAAGTCATAGCTCTAATTGTAAATAACTAGACGATAGGTTAAAATGATTAATGTATAGTTGCAGTGTAGTAAGTTCTGTGCTATATATGAGAGAAGGGGAGAAACGTTGTGTATTGTTAGAATTTGTTAAAAAATGTAATGAACTATATATTTTAAAAAAATTTTTAAATGTCTACAAAAGTGACTATACAATTAGAGCTTTTAAGCCTGTAGAGGAAAATAAAAGTAGCTATTAAAAATTTTAATTCATTAACTATCTTCTTTTTCTTTCAAAATTGATTTGGTGATGATTCATATATCTACCTGCGTATATTAAATGATTTTAACAACTAAACAATACCCATGACTTTTTTAATGAAATTTGCTTGAGAAAATGGAGCACAATTATTTTCAATGTGGTTCTAATAGTTGAAGAAACCATAAGAGAAACTCAGTCTCTTGTGTTCTTTGCAATGATTGTTGAGTGGTAGAATTTCTTACAGATATTTTTTTTGTCCTATAATTTCCTTAGAGATTTTCTTGGAAAAAGAAAAATGAAATGTAATTCTTAAGCTAAAACTGGATTTCTACTCTGTATGCTACTTTTGTAAACAATTGTTTCAATCAATAGTATGTGATGACTATTCCACCTGTCCTTAAGTATTCAAAATGCAGACAAAAATATTAATTCAAAAGCAAACAGGAGAAAAAGAGAGCAAAGAAAAAGATGTGGAAGAAAACCACAAAATAAGATGGCAAAAATAAAAATAAAAGTATATGTAATAGATTAAGCTCACAACAAAAGAGTATGATTTACTAACTTGAGATTAAAAATCAAAATTCAAGATGCAACTATGCTGAGAAATAGAAAATATTGATGTGGCAAAAGATGCCATATAAACAGTAACCAAAAGCAAGCTGGCAGAGAATTATTAATATCAGACAAAACAGAGCTTAAGAGCTGAATTGGAAGAAACAATAACAAAAATTAATAATTCACAAAGAATATATAAGAATCATAAGTTTGTGAGTAGATAAATATGTAGTTTTTATCTAAATAAAGCAAGAACTTGCAAAATTTTAGGGTAAATTTTACAAACTTGCAAGCATGATGGGATATTTTAGTTCAACTCCATCAAAAACTCCATAAGCCAAGCAACCAAGAATAAATTAGTTAAGTTGTAGAAGTTTTAAATGAAACTCAAAGAGAGAGAGGTTGATTTACACCTAAGAATCATTTACTAAAATTAAGTTCATACATTTCACACACTCTTTTGAAGATAAAATTAAATTAATAAATTAATAAATAATTTATATTAGAATGTTAAAAATTTAGGAAGGCATTTCTAAATTACTAGAAATTTTTCAATGTTGGGCTGAATAATAATAAATGAAACAAATAATAAAAGTGTACAGTATTTAACTACATCTGTAATTGGAATGAACTTATAGTTTTAAATACCTCTATCAAAAGGTAAGAATATTTGAAAATAAACAAATTTAGATTTCAGATCACGAAGCTAGAAAAGTGACAAAGAACATCTCTTAATTAGGAAGAAGAAAATTTCAAAATTAAGATGGGAAATTAATTGCAGAATGAATCAAAGGAACAAAAGGTAAACAAAAGTAAATATAATTCTTTCATGAACTAATAAATCTAATAACATAGTCACATTATCAATAGGAATGACCAAGAAAAATGAAAAAAAAAAAAACATAAAAAATACAGTCATGCACCACATAATGACATTTTGGTCAGTGATGGATCGTTATTATAACATCACAGGATAAGGCATTACTCATGAGTTTGTCATGATGCTGTTGTAAACAAATCTACTACACTGCCACTTATATAAGGCATAAGGTATAACACTTATATAAGGTATAGCACATACAATTAGGTACAGTATGTAATGCCTGATAATAATAATGACCAACTATGTACATGTTTATGCATTTATTATAGTATAAATTTTATTTTCATTTTAGAGTTTACTCTTTCTACTTTTTTTTTCTTTCCAGTTAACTGCAAAACAATCTAAGCAGGTTCTTCAGGAGTTATTTGGAAGAAGAAGGCATTGTTATCACAGGAGATGACAACTCCATGTGTGACACAAAAAACCATACCAAAGATAAGTGACACTAAAAGTTCGTTTTTTGAAAGAATAAGTAAGACTGATAGACTGCTAGCTGGACTAATAGAGAAAAAGAGAGGGAAGATACATGTGAACACAATCATAAATGACAAATAGGACATTACTGCTGACCCCAAAGAAATGCAAAACACCCTCAGAGATTATTGTGAACACCTATATGTACACAAGCTCGAAAACCTAGAAGAAATGGATAAATTCCTGGAAACATACAACCTCCCAAGATTGAACCAGGAAGTAACTGAATTCCTGAATAGAGCAATGATAAATTATGAAAATTCAATCAGTAATAAAAGCCTATCAACCAGAAAAAGAACTGGACCAGACTTATTAAAAGTCTATCATATGTATAAAGAAAAGTTAGTACCAATTCTACCAAAACTGTTCTGAAAAATTAAGGAAATGGAATTCCATCCCACCACCTCATTGTATGAGGCTAGTATCATTCTGATACCAAACCTGGAAGAGACACAACAAAAAAAGAAAGATTCAGGTCTATATTCCAAATGAACATAGATGCAAAAATCTTAAACAAACTACTATAAAACTAAATACAGAAACACATCAAAAAGCTAATTCATGATGATCAAGTAGGTTTTATTCCTGGGATGCAAGGTTGGTTCAATATATGCAAATCAGTAAATGTGATTCATCACATAAACAAAACTAAAAACAAAAACCACATGATCATCTCAATAGGTACAGAAAAGGCTTTTGATAAAATTCAACATTATTTAATGTAAAAACCCTCAAGAAACTAGACATAAAACCCACAACCAACATCATACTGAATGGGCAAAGGCTAGAACCATTTCCCTTGAGAACTAGAATAAGATAAGGATGCCCACTTTCACCACTTCTCAACATAGTACTAAAAGACCCACCCAGAGCAACTGATCAAGAGAAAGAAATAATAGGCGTTCAAGTAGGAAGAGAGGAAGTTAAACTATCTTTCTTCACAGAATATATGATTCTATACCTAGAAAACCCCATTCTCTACTCAAAAGCTACTAGATCTAGTAAACAACTTAAGAAGAGTTTCTGAATACAGACTCAATGTTCAAAAATTAGTAGCATTTTTACACAATAATGTCCAAGCTGAGAGTCAAATCAAGAATGCAATCCTATTCACAATAGCCACGAAAAGAATAAAATGCCTAGGAATACAGCTAACCAGGGAGATTAAAGATCTCTACAGTGAGAATTACAAAACACTGCTCAAAGAAATCAGAAATGACACAAACAAATGGAAAAACATCCATGCTACTGGCTAGGAATAATCAATATAATCAATTTCATTAAAATGACCATGCTGCCCAAAGCAATTTACAGATTCAATGCTATTTATATGAAACTACCAATCACATTTTTCACAGAATTAGAAAAAATATTCTAAAATGCATATGGGGACCAAAAAAGAGCCTGAATAGCCAAACTGACCCCAAGCAAAGAGAACAAAGCCAGAGGCATCACACTACTCAACTTCAAAGTATATTTCAAGTATTAGTAGCCAAAAAGCTACCTATCAGACACTAGGCTCACTACTTGAACGATGAAATAATTTGTATATCAAACCTCGCAGCAAACAATTTACCCACATAACAAACCTACAGATATAACCCGGAACCTAAAATAAAAGATGGAAGGAAAAAAAGTTACAGTAAGCTAAGATTTAGTATTGGAGAAATAAATTATTTGTTATAAATTGAATGTGTCCTAAGTACAAACTATTTACAAAGTCTGCAGTAATGTACACTAATATTCTAGGCCCTTACAGTCACTCACCACTCACTGACTCACCTACAGCAACTTCCAGCCTGCATGCTCCATTCATGGTAATTGCCCGATACAGGTGTACCATTTTTTATCTTTCATACCTTATTTTTACTGTATCTTTTCTATTTTTAGATATGTTTACGATACAAATACTTACCATTCTGTTACAATTGCCCGCAGTATTCAGTAAAGTAACATACTGTATAGGTTTTAGCCTAGGAGCAATAGGCTATGCTATATAACCTAAATGTATAGCAGGCTAGAACATCCAGATTTGTGTAAGTACACTCTATGATGTTCCCACAATGACAAAATCACCAGTAACGTATTTCTCAGAACATACCCTTGTCATTAAATGACATGTGACTTCATTATGAACTAAAGTGACATAACAACAGATATTATAACAACTGTGAAGACCATAACATAAAAAAGTTTAAAGATATAAAAACATGAATTAAATATAAATTTTTATTTAAAATTACAGATTCTTCAAATTAAAAACAAAATATTATAAACCAAAAGTTCTTAAATAAATTTACTTTATATTAAAAAATTTTCATCCACTTTCCCTACTAGCAGCAATGCACAAAAACTTCAGATTATGACTATTCTCAAAGCACATTTTTTTCTGACCTTCAAAAAACCAACAAGTACAAAATATTTAGCAGTGGTTCTTGTTTTTTCTATTCAGAAAACTCATTTTATGAGACAATTAAAAACCTTGAAATCAAAATCAGAGGACGTAAAAATAAAACAGTGAGGCAGGGCGTGGTGGCTCACCCCTGTAATCCCAACACTTTGGGAGGCCAAGGCAGGCGGATGACAAGGAGAGGAGTTTGAGACCAACCTGGCCAATATGGTGAAACCCTGTCTCTACTAAAAATACAAAAAGTAGCCAGGCACAGTTCTGGAAGTCTGTAATGCCAGCTACTTGGGAGGCTGAGGCAGGAGAATAGCTTGAACCCAGGAGGTGGAGGTTGCAGTGATCCAAGTACTCCAGCTTGGGTGACAGAGCAAGGCTCCATCTCAAAATAAATAAATCAGTGAAAATTATGAATGTATATAGAGAGTTTCTAAATAAAATCTAGAGAACGAATTAAATAACATAATATACATGTCACAATTTAAAAAATAAGTCTAGGTTAACAAACAAATCAAGAACATTTAAATGTTATAAGAATCCAATGGAAAAATGAGAAAACTCACAGAAGGGAAAAGCTACATTCTTCTTAAGAGATATTAAACCTCACTAGTATTCAGAGAAAAATACAATTAATACCAAAACAAAAGTGAGGAATATTTTTGCACACACAGTAAAATTTAAGAAATCTGGCAATATCAAATATTGACAAAAATAGGCAGAAAGTTTTAAAATGAGAATTTGAACTTTGTTAAGAAACCAGCAAATTTCTATAACTACAAACGCTTTATTCAGCATTTGGGCAATATCCAATACCATTGAAGAAATTTACACCTAATGATGCTACACTTCTTCCTTCAAGCACATTCACTAGAGACAAATCTGGCAAAAATACACGAAATGATATTTACAGCATGAGAATTGTAGCACTGTTTATAACATCAATAAAAGTGAAAATAACTTAAAAAATTTCCAAAAAATGGATAAATTGTAGTTTTTATTAATATGAAACAATGAAATAAACAAAAGTTTAAATACATGAACTAGAGCTATACATATCAATAATAATAAATATCAAAAATTTAAATATAAATAAGATTAAATGATACAATATGATATATATAGATATATTTGAAAAGCACAAGGGACAATGCCATATATTGTTCACAGATTCATGTATATGTAGCAATAGTCTACAAATAGTCATAGAGAAAGCTGCTGCTGATAATGGCAGAAAAATAATTTGGATCAATATGCCCATAGAGAAAATCTGTATGTATATGTATTTATATGTATATGAATGTATATATTCTGTATAAGACAGTTGAGAAGATGTAAGTAAAAAAAAATCAAAAGGAAAAGTAGACTATATTAATATATTTTGAATTAGTGATGATAATAATGGAAAGGCTGCATGTCAAAACTTGTTCACTGCAGCTAAAGTTATGGTAGAGGGACATTTGTAGCATTAAATATATATACAGGAAAAGGAGAAATGCTGAATGTCTATGTGCTCAAGAAATGAGAGAAAAAAGCAAATTAAACCCATAGAAAGTCCAAAAAAGTAAATAATAAAGACAAAAGCAGAAACTTTAATGAGACTAGAAAAAAGAAAAAAAGAAAAATACTTTCAACTCATTATGTGAGGCCAGAATTACTATATTTAAAAAAGAAAACTGTGTTAAGACATCAAAATAGAGAAAATTACAGGCTAATTTACTTATAAAGATAGATGCAAAATACTGAGCAAAACATCTTCAGTGGAAATCTAGCAACCTGTACAAGGGGTAACACATCACAAGGAAAGTGAAATATTCCAGGAAAGCAAGGTTGTGTAACATAAAAACACTAAGAATCAAGTAACCACATGTATAGAATAAAGAAGATTTATGATCATTTCATTTGATCAAGAAAAATTATTTGATAAACATTTATTTTCTGGGATAGGCTAGAAAGGTCTCCAATGAGTGATATACATGACTTAATCCCCAGAGCCAATGAATGTGATTCCTTACATGGTAAAAGATCATTTTAGATTTAATTAATTTGAGGCTCTGGAAGTGGGCATATTCTGCATGATTATCCTGATCAGGCCAATGTAATCACAAAGGTCCTTATAAGAAGTGGGCAGGAGGGGCAGTGTCAGAGAACACGTGACTATAAAAGCAGAGGCTAGAGTGATGGCCATGAGCCAAAGAATGTGGACAGCCTCTAGAACCTGGAAAGGCAAGGAAACGTATTCTCCCGCAGAGCCTCCAAAAGTAATATAGCACTGCTGACCCATTTTGGACTGCCGTCCTTCAGAATTGTAAGATATAAGTCTGTACTATTTTAAGCTACTGAGTTGGACCAACTTATTACAGTAACAAAGGACACTAATACTTCATTATTTATGATTTTTAAAATCTTAGCAATGAGGAAAATAAGGAAAGTTGTACATCTTAAAAGGCATCTATAAAAACAGTGCAAACATCATCCCTAAAGGTGAAATGTTGACAACTTCTCCTCTGAAATTATGTGAAACAATGGTCCCCAGTGTCACCTTTTAGATTTAATATTGTATTAGGAATCCTACAGAATGCCATAAATGCAGGAAAAGAAAATGATTTAAAAAAAG